TCCATCTTTTTTGGAATTTCCTATTTCTTAAGTGCATCTCTCTATATATCTAGATATATGTATAGATATAATGTATATATATGTATATGTTTTAGAGGTGGGGGTTTACAGAAGATCAAACACATATTTTTAAGCTTAAATAATTACAACTATCAATAATTGCCCCATATTAGCAGGCCTATTAATTTAAACAGTTTTATAAATTTGATTTAACTTGAAAGTCAAAAGAGTAAGCTAAATGTGAAAAATATTCCCTTTAACCACATTTTCTTTTCCCAACTGTTAATACAATTTTAATCTTTCTATTTGCCAATGTTTTGACATGACATTTTGTTGTTGCTTTAAAAGTGAAAACTAAACTATATTGTAGAAAAATCACTAATATCATAAAAATAAATTGACACTCATTCTTGTTCTCCATTTTCTAAATATTTTCCATTTGGTTGCCTAAATATTGAACATTTTAATTATTAAAAATGATCATGATTCCAAATATCCAGTCACCGTCTTTCTAATTTAAACTTGTAATTGGCTCCAGATTATAAAAATGTTATACATAATCTTAGGGATACACTATTAAGAAGATTTTTTTTGGCAGTATTTGATTTTTAGATGAATTAATCAATAATATTAATAGACTGAGGTGTTTGTAACGAGTTGTGAGCATTTGTTTTCACGGCTTTCTTACATTTCCAGTTTCCTGCATCTATATCATAAATCCTACATTTAATATGTCAGACACGTTAATCTGTACATGATATTTACTGTTTTATTTAACGTCAAGAGGCCTTAATAAATAATCAGAGCTTCCACTTGTCTTTCAGGACGGTGAGAGTTTGCAAGGGCAACATGAGTTTTGGCTTCACCCTGAGAGGCCACGCTCCCGTGTGGATTGATTCGGTGATCCCTGGTGAGTTTGAAACAAGTATCTTTACAGGTTTTTCTACCTTTTTTTTTCTTCCACATTCTCTTTTTAAAACTGCACTTTCTTTGTCGTAACAACACATTCTTTAACTTGTTTTCTGCCCTTCAGGTAGTCCCGCAGACAAGGCAGGTTTAAAAGCAGGAGACCGGATCCTGTTTCTCAACGGCCTGGACATGAGGTTGAGCACATTACTCACATTACCTGCTCTAAAACTTTCCCCATGATCAAAAAGTGTGTGAATATTTCTAGTTTCTGATATAATGTCAGTGAAAATGGGCAAAACAATATACAAAAGGTAACAAAACAAAGTGTGAATATTTAGCTGTTTGAGTCTTTCTGTTAAAGCTTTCAGCCACTGAAAGGAGTGGAAACCTTCTTTCTAATGCAACGTTTGAGTCTAAAAATAGCTCAAGTTAAAAGACGAGTAATAAAACGAAGAGCATCAAAGAATATAGAAGTGTTGTCTTCTGCAGAGTGCAGGGTTTGTCACTGTGTTCAAGCATAAATACTAGAAAACATTTATTTTCTTGGACATAAAATTATTTTTCAGGAACATTTATTAATTAAATATCCAATTTAAATGAACCTGCAGGACGTCCTCCCATGAGAAAGTGGTGTCCATGCTGCAAGGAAGTGGTGCGATGCCCACCCTGGTGGTGGAGGAAGGCCCGCCCATCTTCACTCTGGCCGAGCAGGAGCTCACAGGGGGAGGCGTCCCCGCAGAACGGGCGCGCTCTCCGGCGCTCAGTTCCCTGCAGTGGGTGGCAGAGATTCTGCCCCCCAGCATCAGGGTGCAGGGCCGCACGTTTGGACAGCAACTGGAGCACCTGCTGACCATTCAGGAGAGGTACATCATCTGCAAGGCTCTGGAGAACTTCTTCCAGCACCGGTGAGTGGACCGAAACGTTTCCAGTTTGTAACTTTAATGTTGTTTTACATGGTGCAATTAGACTTTGAGAGGTTTATGGGAGTTTTTTTTTTTTTGTAGTCCTGAGGTTTGAAACTGAAGAGCATGCGGAAAATACAGCATAATAAAAACTTTAAATACATTAAACATTAACATAGCAACATGTCACAAAACGAAATTCAACTAAAATATGTTTTATTATCATCCTCATCATCATCATCAGAAACCACTGTATTGTATTTGGTTCTTGATTATTTTTTAAATACATTTTGTTTTCTGTATTGTTTATGTTTAAAATATATTTATGTTTATATTGCATTGTTGTACTAATCTAATCTAAAATCTTGTATGTCAGAGCTACCCAAATCTTGTGTCATTTGTTTTGATTATGATTTTCTTTTTCTTTTTTTTTTGGGGGGGGGGGGGGGGGATTTATTGTTGGGTGAAAAGGAATTTTTTGTGGAAAAATAACTTGGATGTAGCTCATTCTTTCTCTCCCTATATATATATATATATATATATATATATATATATATATGTAGTGAACCAGATGACCTCAAATCTACCAGATGGACAGAGACTGTTATTTCCATTGATCTGAATAAGTCTGGGCCATCTGATGACTTTCTTTCTTGAATTAATCAAGCAGAAAAGACAATTCTTTATAATCATTACTGTCTTACAAATGTTTTAATAATCAAATTGTGTTAGTTCACTCAATGCTTTACAGGTTGAAAAGAACTACTCATTTTTATTTTACATAAACAGTAAGTAATGATTTTTATTCCTCATTCAGAGAAGAAATCACCTGAATATGCATTTCTTGATTTTCTGTCTGAAATGAGCAAGCTGTCGTAAGTGTGTGAAAGTTGAGGCTTCGGTCAGCTAAATGTTTACTGAAGGAAAAATGTCATGTTTAAACTTTTTCAGAAGATTACCAAGAGTTGACTCCACGAAGTCTGCTGTTGCTGCAATAATCTTTTCTGTATGTGAAAACAAATTTCATTCTCTGACCTCGACTGTTGATAAACACCTTACGTCAAAACCACTCCTCTTTCTGGTCCATCCACGAATCAGAAAGCTCTAAGTAAACCCGGAAGTAAACTCATTTAAAATGTGAAAACTTCCCGGTTCTGAGAGAGTTCTGGAGAATGTGAGAGTTCCAAGATTGAGAGTGATATGGAGTTCCAAGAGTGAGAGTTCATGGAAGAGTGAGAGTCCAACAGAAAAAGATTCCATGGAGAATGGAAAAGTTCTGAAGGAGTTCAGAAGAGAACTAGAGTTATGAAGAGTTTTGGAGTTGCCGAGAATCCAGGGACGTTTGGGATTATAATTCTGTTTTGAGCTAACCACGCACGACTCCGAGGATTTTAGCTGTTCTTAACGGAGGCGCTGGAAACAGTCTGAAGGATGCTTACTGAGCTGATCTATCGTCAAACCAGGTAAAGACTTCTTCTTCGACTAAAGTGTACCGTGGACGGGCTGAGGATCTGACGGAGCGTGCAACTTCTGGTCAAACAGATTAAATTCCCTCACATAGTTCCCTGTAAGATAATCTCCTTTCATCTTAAACTCTTCTCTCTCACAAAATCAGTACAGATATTTTAGAAATATCTGAAGCAAAGTCCTCAAATCACCGTCGAGTGATTTGAAGTTCATTATTTGTGAAACTGTCTGTTATTATTTTCATATTTTGCCAAATTAATGTAAATGTTTGATGTTAAACTTTGATTCTGAAAATAAATGATTCCATTCATTTGATGGGTCAAAGATAAATAACGTCTCTCGTTACATTTTGTGTTAAATTCAATGCACGGCATTTACAGTCAGAAAAATGAAGAACTCGTGAAAAGTATGCATAAATATATATCCATATATTTGTCATACAACAAGTGACACGTATCTCACGTGACTCACTACAAACTGGTGGCTCGTAACGGTTCATGAATGACTGTTAATACGTGTAAAATTGATGATTTAAATGTTGGCATGTCGAAAAAGTAACAGTAATATCAGCTGTGCTGAAACCGTGCGTCTTTACGCAGCGCAATTGGAGCTGCGCGCTTGGAGCTCGGCTCTACAACTTTACGCTGTGTTACGCTGGCAATGTTTTAAGAGCTGAATTGTGTCATTAAGTCTTTATAAAGCTGAATTGTACGTCTGTATGTGTAACATAAGCTGGCTTTGAGCTGTGGAAACGCTTTATTCTGTTTAAACTGTGTTGAATTCGCTGTTCTGGTCCGCTTCGGTTCTTTGGACCGGCTCGGTTCTGAAACGGGTTCGAACGAGTTGTTAAATAGCTAGAAAGACGTTTTGTCACGGAGCGCCGTTCTCTGTGCAGCTCAGGGGGTTTATTCGTTACAAATCTTAACAGAAAAAGTGCATTTTGATGGTTTAAAAGACGAAAAAGTGACGAACTATTTTACGCTAATCTAACTTGCTAGTTGGAGAATACGCTTCCTGATTGGTTGAATTCACTGTTGTGTAGCGCTTTGATTGGTTGAGAAGTTGACTGACGTGCTACGTCATCTCCCCTCACTCCTGCGCTGCTTTGCCATTGGTGATTTCAGTCACGTGGCCCGGATATGAAATTCATTTTCATAGGGAAATAAAATCTGCTTTTTAAAGCTAAAAAGCGCCTTTTAAAGTGATTCTGAAACGCTGTTAAGTGCTTCGAAGCCTGCTTGCTGAAATTCTGCCACGTTACAGTTTAAAATTCGTCAAAAAATGATGTTTTTAAACAACGCTAGCGATGCTAATTTTAAGCTAAACAGCTAACGACCGGAGCTTAAACTACGCTTAAAATCACTAAATGAAGCTACTATCAGTCCCAAAAACTCATGTTTGAAGCTATAAAGTCTGATTGCAAAACTTTTGCCACTTTTGTGTAAAAAATCCGTTCAGAAATGTTGACTTTAACCGAGTTTAGCCGAAGCTAACTTCAAGCTAAGCGGCTAACAACAGGATGTCAACCGAACGCCACAGGAAGTTATAGCACCCCTAGTGGACAACACAAAAAGTGACGGAGTTATAATTGTTGAGGTAATACTGACATCTCCTGGCGAGACGTGAGATCACAGATCTCACTTCGTTTTTAGGTAAAGAGTGAAATTAAACGTTTTCTTTATTTTTCTGTAAGACAATTTCGAGTTAACAAACTTCCTCAGAGCTGAATAAAACACTGTTATCTTACATTTTAAAAAGTAATAGGTATTTATGCAAAGAAGCATTTACCAAAAAATTTTATTCACTGATAAATCCTATAAAACAGGTTCATAATAAAATTAGAAACTTTTTAAAAAACAGATACAGTTACAAATATTCACAGAGTTGAATAGTTTACTCATTTTGCTTGAAGGATAATACACGTTTAATTGCAAAATCACTAAATAAGAGTAAATTTATCAGGAAAAAGAGATTTTCTGTTTAATTTGTCACCTAAATAAAATATCTCTCTATTTAATTTTAAATAGAAGCTATACAGGAGCAAATACAGTTTTTCTGAAGAAAGACTGATTATTCCTCATCATCAAATTCTTTTCTCTTTTCACCCACCTGGGTTGATTGAGTAACTGTTTAAAATAGCAAATTTCTGGAACAGAACGGTTTAAAAAAAAAACGTTTTAAACTAATATTGCTGTGAGACTAAAGAAAAATTTGCAGGTTTATAAAAATTCAGTGTTTAGAGTAAAATACACTAAAAAACAGCTTGGTACTCTAGTATCTGTGGAAAATAAGCACAAAAAGTAACACTGCTGAAAGAGCATTTACTTAAATATTCATGAATTGGGGTAAAACCTGAGAAAGGTACCCACATTTGAATAAGTTGACTTATAACAGTACTTCTGTGTAAACCCAAAGCTAAAATAAGTGTGAAAACTCATTGACTTGAATACAAATATTTACCTGTAAAATATCTAAAGCTTGCAACTGTTCAAACAGATAAATTGCTACACAGTGAAAACATGACAGGTGTGTTAGAAAAAGATTTTGACCCAAAAGGAATTACGGACTGCTTGGAGAATGCGTTCGCGCTTCTCGGAGCGTCCTTACATCCATATATAATCCAGACAGAGCGCATGAACCCAAAAGAGTTAGTGGACAATCTGAAGGAGGTTGCAGAAAGTGTGACCTCTGCAGAAATCACAAAGTCCAGTTATGAAAAGCTGGCTAAAATTGCAATCTTGCTGAAAGAGTCATTCTATAAGGCCGTGGAGAAAACTGATTACCTCAAACAAAGGTTAGACAGTGAAATAGTGTTTGCTAAGGAAATTGAAGAATACGTCCTTCAATTTAAACGTGAACACGAGGCCCGCATAAGACAATATCATGAACAGATGTCTCAAGAACAGCAAAATACAAGTGCAGAAATTGATTTGCTGAACAGCAAACTACAAGTACTTGAAGCATCACTATCGGAAGCAAGGGACCTCTCAAAGACTGAGCTGTTAAAACAGGCTCAATCATATGAGGAGAAGATTAGGGATAAAGACCGTGCGTACCAATCCGTGCGTTCAGATAACGATGTGCTACAAGCACAGTTACAGATCGCATTGAAGGAGCTGGACGCTTGCAAGGCAGACAAGACGGAATCACTCCAACGATGGCTGATTTTAATAAAAAAATATCAGACATCACAGGAGGACCTGAAAGCTTGTGAGGAGAAATTAGCTACAGCTACAAACCAGATTTCTGATATGGGGCGGCCTGGTCTAAGACTCAAAGACGAACAGTATCAGGGTCCGAGACAGCCACGAACTCTCCAGTCAGATGCTGTTGCACCTCTTCCTCCTGACAACACGCCGTTACCCCCACCCCCACCATGGGCGGTAGGGACAGAACTGCACCAATATGTACCTCTTCCTCCTGACACCATGCCCCCACCCCCACCACCATCATGGGCGGTAGGGACAGAACTGCACCGATATGTACCTCTTCCTCCTTACCAGCCACCCCCACCCCCACCATGGGCGGTAGGGGCA